CTTCGCCTTCCAATGCTACACGCTACATTAAAGACGTCTCCAGAGTAACTGAATGACGGTTCATATAGAAATCGCTGGTATGCGTCTCATACAACAACGCCCCCTATAGTTCGTTGCGATCGCGAATATCGTTTTCTAATTTCTATGATTAAAAATCTGTCATTGATAGTTTGTTAACGCAAAAACTTTGCTTTAATAAAAAAAATTATATTTTAAAGTGATAAACGAACTTTTGTAAGCGGAAGAATTTTTAAAGGAATTTTTCTAATTATTCAAATCCTGTCACTATCTTTAACTGTAGTTTGAAACCGAAAAATAACTGTGTTTTATTAAGAAGAAAACATCCCACAAAAAGTATTTTTAAAATAAAGAAAAGAATATAGTTCTGTAAGCAAGCGATTCTTTCATGAAAGAGTTTTTAAAACCTTTTCTGTCGCACGACAGGATTTGCGACCTCAACGAACTATAGGGGGCGTTGTTGTATGAGACGAATACCTGCGATTTCATTCAGTTACTTTGGAGACGTCTTTAATGTAGCGTGTAGCATTGTAACGTTTCTTCTTTATTGTGGCTTATTAAATTTAAAAAAGAAAAATGTTTAATATTCTTTCTTATGCAAGCGAAAACAAAATGGTATCTTTTTTTTTAAAGAAGGAACATCCAAAACACATCGGAAAAATATTTGTGAATAAACAGAAAAAAAAAACCTATCTTCTTATTAGAGTTGAAACCTAATGCATGAGAAATAGTTTTACTAAATTTAATGATATAACATGAAAGGCCTATTTAAACTTTACATTCCATAGTTTCAAGAATCATATTACTTCAAAAATTAAAATAAACAAAAAGTATACATAAGCCTCGTAATTTTATGAAATTTAATTTTGTAGAAAAGTTTTTTGACAGCAATTTTTATCAAAAAATTTCAAGTTTCAATAAAAATCATTAATTGGGTATACTATAGCCTACGTCACAGGTTGTGTTATTCCTACTAAATTTAACCCATGAACGGCATTTTCTGCGAGCCTAACTTCAAGCCACAAATAAACAAACGAAGTGTTTGATCGTTTAAATAGCTGCTCGCCAGATTTTATTGCATTATAACGAAAAGTAATTGATATTCGATTTTTGATTAATAATTGATTTATGTGGATAGTGGCATTTATGGGGATAGTGGCATAGAATTTAGCATTGCGTCATGGTAAATGTTATTCCTACTAAGTGGAAGTAGTTGTGTTTTTTTAATATTATACCCAATTAGAAAATGAAAAACGTAAAATAAAGAATGCCAATAAAACAAAAAAAAAATCTTTTTTGTCGCCATTTCTTAGTGCTACGAAAATTCGTCTTTGGGATTTGCCAAAAACAAAACAAGATGCAATTTTATTTTTTTAGGAGCAAAATATTTTACCAAAAAATGAAAGTGAGCCAATTTCCATGACATGAAACTTTATCTTGGTAAACGTACGTTTTGGAAATGTTATCTCATTTGGAATCCTATTTATTAGAGTTAATATGGTGACATCATCAGGTGAACGAAAATAGGGTTTGTTTTGAATCTGCGTTAAACTTTATATCAGTCCATTTTTCACCGAATACCGATTGACTACTTTGATTTTAAATGAAGTGTTTTATTTTATGATTTGTCGTAAAAATTTTAGGTGTAGGTTTGGCGGCCCTTAAAAACTGCCAAATCTGTAACAGCGGTGGCGTTAAGACATAAGTACCGAATTTTTATTCCATACTTTTCTGAATCATATTACTTCAAATATTAGAATATGCAAGAAGTATACATAAACGCATAATGTTATACCATTTAATTTTTCTGAAAAAGTATTTTGACGACAATTTTTATCAAAAAATTATAAACAAAAAACGTAAAACTAAGAATTCTTAGGATAAAAAAAGCAATTTTAAAAATTCCTCATACTGAAATAAAAAAACTGTCATATTGTTTCTTTTTTTATTACCACGTTTATATAAACTTGCCTTCGTGTATGTCTGTCCGGGTGGAATTTTGTAATCGATTTTAAACTAACTTCCCGACTAGCTACAAACTTCAAATTTAGCACACAGTTCAGAATTGGATGACAATGCATGAAAATGAAGAGAAAAAAGACATGCAAAGTAAAATAAAATTAAAATTTAAAAAAAAAATTATTTTCGAGATTGTCTTTTGTTGTCGATTCCATTATTTCAAATTATTACGTGTCAGGTGAAAAGATTTTTGTTGTCGGAGTATTTTTATTGGCTGAAAAATCACGTGGTAGGATCCAGTTTTTCCTCATTCATTTCCAGATTGTTTTGGTTGTCATCAGCATAAAACTAATGAAAGTCGTAAAGGTATTGTTTTTCTATAAAGATTTTTGTATCCCTAATTTAAAATAAAAGTTCTATTACTTTAGTAGTGGTCTTGTAGTAGTCTTGACTACTCTTGACTAAGAAAAATAATCTAAATAAAAATATATATTTTTAAAAACCACGTTTTTTGTAGTGAAGAATAATAATTAAAAAATAATAATTTTTTAAAAATATAAAATAAAAATTAAAAATTAAAAAAATCATAGTTTAAAATAAAAAAATTCAAAATAAAAAGTAATATTTTTAAAAACCACGTTTTAGTAGTGGAGAATAATAATTAAGAAAAAAATTGAAAAACGAAAAACGTGGGGCGCATGAAATACATAACAGTACATATACACATACATATACACATTTTCTTACTCATACACATGCACAGCCACATATACATCCACATACATATGCATATACAAAAGCATATTCCACATCCACATTCAGATACAATTACAATTACTGATATACATACACATATTCTCAAGAGCACACATACACACACTAATATAACATTACTGTTATGTATTTCATGCGCCCCACGTTTTCCGTTTTTCAATTTTCTTCTTAATTATTATTCTCCACTACTAAAACGTGGTTTTTAAAAATATTACTTTTTATTTTGAATTTTTTTTTCATTTTTATAGTTCTTAATCAGACGTAAAACCATTCTGTAGAGAACTATCATCAAATAAGAAAAAAAAATTATTTACAAGCAATTTTTTTTATATAAAATTCATAATCTTCTTCATAAATCCGGATAATTCCAAATGAAATGTTCTTCGTTTGAAAATTTTATTTTCAAATAATATCTACATAGATTATTCCTTCATTACTTTTAGATAACATACCACACATCAAAATGTTATAATTGTATGATCCCGATATGAATTTCAATAACGTAGCTTGAAAACAGAATAGCTGAATTCTAGTTGAAATTATTCTTTTAAAACTAAAAAATGATTACCAAGAAAACGATAAAAATTTATTAATAATCAGCACAAATGATACTATTTCAAGTAATTCGGAGGATTCTTTATTGTTGTTTGCCAAATTAAATAGATACAGAAATATTTACTATTCTGTAAAGAAGAAGAATATTCTATAACTATTACAGATTTGAACAGATATCTGAATTCACATTTATTCATTGAAATGACGAAAGCAATGTTGACGTCACTTTAATTCGTAATGGATTGAAGACAGAAAAAATTATTTTACTGTAATACACACATCTGTAACAGCAAGTGATCATGAAATCCGAAGTTATGGTTTTGGTAATAGAAAGGTAAAAATTATTGAGAAATTGCTCTTCAAATGCTTGGCGTGTCAAATGCTTCAATATTTGGCATGTTCTGGTTAGTTTTTTCAAGTTCTTCTACCTTTTCCTTAAGGAAATTTTGCTTCTTATTTGCTGCTAAGAAAATGGCGTCCGTCATTGCCAATGGTTATGATGGAATTAATGAACGATATTTTCCGGCTCCCGCTAGAGGGCGTACTCCAGCGTTGCGATCGCGAAAAGAACACTTGCTCATATAATCAGGTTCTACTTCCATGTCGCTTACAGATATCCAATTGACTGCTTTTTCTGGGAGACATATTTTATTATTAACAAGTATGTACAGTATGTCTAGAGGAAGATTGACAGATTTTAATATTAAAGATATCAGAAACAAAGGATGACTTAGGAATGTATGTTCATTGCGAAAGCTGTAAAAATTTTATACAGAAATTTTGGAAATTAGTTTCAAACGTTGCCAACGGTACTGTACACTGTTCAAATTTCTTGATAATGAATTCAAATAAATCCATCATATTTCAAAAACAGAAACAGATAATGTTCAATGGAAAACATAGTGCCGCCTAATTCTGTGTCATGGCATCCTTTCATTTTCAAGCGCTAAAACAGAGCGCTAGGGAACGGGATAGCCTCGTTTATTGGGAGTTGGGTAAATGTCCAAGAGGCCATGAGTTCGATCCCTACCGGCTTAAAAACTCCCAGTGTAGTAAAGGGTGACTGGTACACGTTAAATCTGTCGGCTTATGAAGTCCTCCCTGCTCCTATAACAAATCATACCTCTGGAGGTACTGAATTGGAGAAGGATCGTTCTCTGGTTCAGGTCAAAATTACGATCTGTTGATGATTGAAAGGATGTATGAATGGGTTCGCTCTATAAATGGGCTGTGACGTATATATGATTGAAGTCATATTTTTAGCCATATATGGTGAAACTGGAAACTAAGAAATGCACACACTGCCTAAAATTCGCTTAGTTTCACCTAGAAGGCTTGCTGGTATTGACAAATGTCTTTAGAAACGACAATGACAGAACAGATAGCTCTGGTGGTCTTCGATGGCTAGCAGCGTCATCTGTAGGCAACTTTAGTAACTAATTTCCAAAATTTTTATGCAAAATTTTATAACTTTGTCAATAAATTTACCACTTGTTTCATTCCTCGTTGACCTTTAGTTTTTGAGATTTTCATTTTTGAAATGAGTCAGTCCATGGTTGTAAAAAAAAAGAAGTAAAAAAAAAAAGAGGGAGTGTTTACCGTTGGTCAGTGACCGATCTAAGTTCCTCCCGCAGTTGCTGCTTCAATGACATCAGGTAAGAGGGCAGCTTGGGGCCCGTGTCTGTGGTGGCGTGATCCAGAAGGTAGGAGGCGGAGGTAGATGGCACAACTCCCACTCCGCTGCTGCGCAAGTAGGAAGATAAGCTGTGGGGTGCGCTTAGGTCCCGACGACCCAGCATGGTTGTCGTCTGCAATAATGTGTTTGGATTTAAATTTTATTAGCCATAAACTACAATGTCATACAAAGGCATAATTATTCAGTTATTTACAAATCAATTTCTTTTTATGGCTCCCAATTTATGCTCTTTTTAACACTTCCATTGCGGCTATAGTACATCGTTGTCCCACCCTCTGCTCTGCAGTTGAAAGAAGAGGCAAATTCCCTTAAAACCTATTTGTAAATTCATATTGGACACGCTGCAATTTTGTTTGCGCTGTATTGTAATCTTTCAATTACAATTTAAAAAAACCTTGTGTAGAGGACAAATTCCTGGAAGACGATTTATCTCATCCGTGACGATGAATAAGCAAGCTGGTACTTTCGTGCTCACAACAGTATACACTAAAACAATAAAAAAAATGCCTTCTCGATATTTAAGGAGCATAATTATTCGAACGGGGATGAAAAAGTTCCAAAATTGTGAAATGATTTTTTTAGCAATTTGCAAGAAAAAACGTTGCGTCAATCGATGACTTACTCAAAAAATGTTAAAGAAAGTTTAGTCTTTGACAATAGCTCTTAATAATGGATTTTTGTGGCATAGAAATTGTACCTCCCAGGAATGTTTAAAAAAAAATTACCTCACCAATGTTTGCGAACTGCAAGTTGGAAAAAAAACCGATGCAAATAATACTTTAAAAATATTCTTTAAATGTAAGCGTTCTTGAGTATTTAGAGCAGTGTTTCCCAACGTGGGCCCACGCCCCACCGGGGGGCAATTTGATTGTTAAGGGGGGCAATTCGAAAATGGACACGAGTTTAATCCTTTTGCTTCGAGCCATTTAAATGCAATGCTAGATTTCGGAGTCAAAATTGAAAGAACAAAGCAAATTCTTAAATAATTGCGGCTAGATAATATTATAAATTCGCTTGACAAGACCAAAATATCTACTGAGTTTTTGGCGTCGTCAAGTTGACCTCTCTGCGACAAATGGCAGGCTTCAAGTGGACCCCCAGAAAAAACCATACTATAGGAGAGAATTTAATAAAATCGTCAATATCAGCATTTCTTAAAATGGTTCTTGAGAAAGATGCAAAAGTTATGCCACTCAGTAACAATACTGTTAGCTGAAGAATAGACAGAACGAGTGAAGATATTGAAAAACATCTTATTGAAAAGCTGAAAACTAGAAAATTATCAATGCAAATGGATGAATCAACTTTGATAGACAGTTTGGCAGTATTGATAACTTACGTAAAATATATTAATAAAGGGCATTTTGCTGAAGAAATGTTGTTCTGTAAAAGATTAGAAAGTAACACTACCTCCAAAGATATATATAATAAGCTAAAAAACTACTTAGATGTCAATAATATATAAATAATAACATAACATCTTGTGCTGTGGATGGTGATCCTAATATAATGGGCAAGAAAAATGGCTGCTAGAAATTGGTGAAAGATGAGAATCCAGGAAAGATTTTTGTGCATTGTGTTATTCATAGGGAAAACTTGGTAGCTAAAAATAGCTCGCCTGTTCTAAATGAAGTACTACATTCAGTAAATGAAGTAGTACATTCGGTGTATCAATGCTATTAAAACTAATGACAAATGAGAGCGTCTCTTCAAGCTATTTTGTGAAGAAAAAAATGCAGACCCTATGAGAGTTTTACTTCACTCTGAAGTAAGATGGCTCTCTAAAGGGAACTGCTTGAAAAGATTTGGAAAACTGTTTGATACTCTTAGTGATTTTTTAAGCGACAAACCTGAAATGAAGTATCTGTTAGCAATCGATGATAAAGCATTTGTGAGTTATTTAGCCGATATCTTTGAATAGCTAAATATATTAAATAAGCAACTTCAAGGAACAAAAAAACTCTTGTTGATGCAAAAGCAAAGACATTGGGTTTCATTACCCTTATTGAGTTATGTCAGAAATATATTAACAACAAAAACTTTGAACAGTTTCATTGGCTCCAAAAGTGTGAAGCAAATGGTACTGTTTTACTTGTTATTGTCGATCATCTGAAAATTATATCGGCTGATTTAAAAGAAAGATTTTCTAGTTTAAAACAAATTGAGTTTCCTATATGAATGATACAGCCAATGTTAGCGGATTTGTCTGATATATCAAACATGTAAAAAGAACTAGCAGAAATGCAAAATGATGAGTCAGTTAAAATTTTATTTATTATAAATGGAGTGATGGCATGATTTTGTGAGGAAACAGAATACCCAAATTCAACCAAATGTGCAAGAAAACTTTTGTTAACGTTTCCATCTTCATATTTAGCTGAATGTGGATTTAGTGCTGTAAATGATTTACCGGTAACAATAAAGAAATAGTCTGGATAGAACACAACTGGGAGACTGAAGCTAACCAAATTGAAACCTAACATAAAATCTCTGTGCACCAAGCACCACACTAAATTAAAATATTAAATTATTATAGAAAAATCTTTATTAAAATTATGTTGAATTTGAATTTTAGTTTTTCATTATATGTTTTGAAAATTTTACTGTGTTTCGTTAACAATTTGATAGGGATTTCTTCCGAAAATCTATCATTTAAGTTTCCTAAGTGAACCATTCAATTTTTTTATATTTGAAATTATGTATATGTTACATTGGGGGGCATAAGAATTTCAGAAGGGCTTAGGTGGGGCATGGCACAAAAAAAGGTTGGGAAACACTGATTTAGAGTAAATAGACACAGGCAGACTTTTGATTGCGTACATAGTCTGTTTCGCAAAGACAGCCTCAAATATATGTTTTTTGGAAACTTAACTCAAAACAAGAAATAAAAAAGAGCAAACATTAGGGATTGTACAGTTATCAAAATTCATAGATTTCAGTTGAGAAAGACGGGTGCCTGGAACCAGTTTGGGACAGAGAACAGTTGAAAAAGACGATTGTCACCTTTAAGCTTCAATCGACAATCAAACGAGTCTATGTATACTCGTCTTCCTTCACATCAAGCTATTTTGATGTCAAAGGTAATCTTAACGGAACACCCCGTATCAAATAAAGTGAAATCAATATTAAAACAAACAATTTTTTTCGCGATGTTGCCTGTTAGATAATTAGTTAAAATTCCATGAAAAATTTATCTTAGAACAAAAACTTTTTTTCCCTTCGTGGGAATTATTTGTCGGAAAAATACCCTTTTTTTTAAAAAATCTATATGACATTCTGATGAATGTTATTATGGAGAATGATATTTATCTAACATATGATAACAAAAATGCTACAATAAAACAATATTTGATCCAAAGCAATTCCATTGAGAATATAAATTTCAAAGTAAATATTACTTAACATTCTCGATAATCTGTAAACTGATACTAAATTATTCTTTGTACTGTGTGCCAAAAAAAAAAAAATACGGACCATCCTGAATAACTTTTCTATCTAATCCTCACATTCAAGGATTCAATCCAAGAGGTGACCTCAAATATGCTAATTAATAAGTGCAGTTAATATTTTAAGTTATGAAATCAGTCACAAAAACGTACTTTCTCTGAATGAACATACCTTTTTTTCAACGGATTTGGATTTTCGACCTCCAAAATATAGGGGGGTAGTCGCAAACTGTGAAATACGGTCCCCATTGTTTGATCAGGGGGGGGGGGGATTCAAAGTTTGGATTCCTTCATGTTAATTTTACTTTCCGCGCATTATCGAGAACATTTCGGTTGTATTGAACAGTTTTTGCACACAGTTATAAAATTCGTTCATCAAAAGATAATTCTATGCGAAAAGTAAATAGTTATTATTTTTATTATTTTAATAAATAATACTTGACATTTTTTTTTAAATGTAAGGTATACAATTTTTTACATAATTTTATAGTATGTTATTTTACGTAGCAAAATGACTTAAATAGTTTCTGAGAAATCGAATTTTAAGTATCTGACTTTTTTGAAATTCAATTTCTCAGAAAATATTTCAACCGATTTCGCTCAATTTTGTATTTTGCCATGTAAAATTATATATTTTGAAATGATGCAAAAAATCGTATACCTTACAATTATTTTCTCAGAATAATAATAACAAAAAAAAATGTGGTTGCTAAGGCATCTTTAAGAAAGACAACTATTGAAAACTATTCTTTTTAAGGAATTATAGCAGAATGCTTGTGAACTCACTGATAGACCAATGGAGGATGGTATTGATGCTAAGACAGAGGAGGTTGTAGTAGTAAGCGAAGATCCAAGCAGTCCACCGTAATCTGTAGACGTAAGAAATTTAAGGTAAGTGTCCGTCGAAGAGGATAAACCTAAGAAATCCAGGTCCGAACTCGTTGTCGTGTTTAATGCTTTCGTCAAGGACATTCCGTCGTCCAGTGATGTTGTCCTGAAATCACATTTAATTGTGCTTCATGAGTTGCGTCTACAACATTATTATAGCTTATCTTCTTCAGATTCTTTCGACTTGTTGGATTTTAGGATATTTTTATTTTATTTTAATCTGAATAAATATTTGACGATAGAATATCATTCATCAGCACAATAATTTTTAAAGAAGGTAAAGAATTATTGCTTCGGAGAATTGACTCTTAAGAGGACCGAAAGGAGATTTTAGCGCTTTTCTCACAAAACAAAAGAAATGCGATAAGTAATTTAATACAATTTCTTTCTTTTTTTTTAATTTTCTTTTTTATGGTCTTTCGAAATCTAATTCGACTAAAATTTGATTTTGAGGTGCTTCTTTTTATAGGTGGCTAAAACTTTGTAAAACGATTTATTTTTCAGAACGATACTCTTTATTTACATGACAGCAAAACATGATTTTAAAATTCAATAAAACGTGCTTAAATGATTATATTATGATATTTTAGTTAGCTAAACTAAACGCAGTGGCATGACAGCCCATGAAGGGCCAAGGCCTACTGTGCATATCCCAGTTTTCTTGACCTCGGGGTCTGAGGTGCTGACGCAAATGTTCCGGTTGGGTGGTCAGCCGAAAGCGGAACCTCCAGTGCTGAGTCCCCAGGCATGCTTGGTACTCATTTTATAGACCCACTGAAGGGATGAAAGGCTGAGTCAACCATGCCCGATACGAAGATAAGACCCTGGACCTGTGAGACGGGAGCATTTAAGTAAGCTATATGACATTAAAAAATCTTATTAAAATTTGTTCGTTCTGTTTTGCTGTATTTGTGCCGGTATTGCGGTGAATAGTTAGATGCACAGTTTCACTGATAGTTAGCATTAGCGTAAGAAAATAGACCACGCGATATGTGTTGTTTTTATTTAAGTAATTTTTTAATAGTTTTTAAAATTATATATAAAAAGAAAGTAGGGTTCGGAATGTTAAAGAGAGAATACCTCTGCGGTATCCTCCTGTCCCATGATCTCTCTGAGGATGTGGAAAGAGGCATTGCACCCATCGAGAGTGTGCGAGTTCGATCCTTGGTTCGACGTAGGGGGACGGAGGTAGGCTCTTGGTCCAAAGGCACGGGCGGCAGACGACGTCGTATCTTCTTCCCGGCCTCCATATCCATACTCTCTTGATCCTAAAAACAATAATTAATGACATTCGCAATTTATTTACATAATTTTATACAAAAAATTCAAGATTTGAAGGGAATGGATCGAATTGTTCTTGTGAAATAAAATAAAATAAAAATCGTTTTCGAGATGGCTACTTTATGAAAAAAATTAATTTAACATTATCCTCTTGACAGATGATTTTCGTTCGTACAGAAAAGCGGTGAATGAAGAAGAACGTTTCCTGCTTAAAAGCATCCAGAACACATATATTCGTTCTTATTTTGTACGAGAGAGAACAAATTTACCTGAGAACAAATTTTCCCGTGTACCTGCATTATGCTTTCCCTCACCTTAGTTGAAGTGATAGGCATTTGAAGTACGTTAAGTGGTAACCAGTATAACATCTCGTTATCTGTTTTGTCTTTGAATCTCTTTAGAGATTGGTGGCAAGGATATTTGGAAACACATGTTGTTACTATTTTAGATTTGCCATATATTAAAAAAATTTTTTTATGTCGATTTAGTGTGGATCTAAATATCGATCCAAAACATCAGTTCAATTACAAGATAAATTTGGAACATTTTATATCAACTGGGCCAGTTGCCTTTTAATAATTTTGGATTTTTTTTAAAGAAGAAAAAAAAAACCCCGCTGAGAACTGCCAAAGTTAAATTCTGGAATTCCCTGAGCCTGGAGGTTTACACCTAGTTCAAAAGAAAACAATCAAATCAAAACTCATAGCCGGTGTTCAAATTATTAAAAAAAAGTTGGACTAAATTTTATACTGCATAACTAATACTAATGGTTAATTTGGACTAAAATTTTGTGGAAATATTTTAAAGAGGGCTGCTGATGTAAGGATCAAATTTTAGGGTTAATGGATTGACATTTTTATCAATATCATAATATTATAGAAGTTGGCAACCAAAATTGGATTTATTTTTAAAGTTTTAGCACTTGTTTGAATGATTCAGTTTTAATTTTTTAAAACAGTCATATCACCCAGTTGAAGTATAGTAAGTCATAATTTTTCAAAAATATGCTTTATTTAATTTTGTTTTACATTTTAACTATTTGACGCAAAAAAGTTCACTCAAAAAAAGGGAAAGTGGAAAAAAAATTATGCTTCTAATGTTTGTGGAGGGGCGGAACTTGTTGTTTCTAATGTTTGTGAGAGACACATATTGCTGTGTTTAATGTTAATGGAATGAATCGAACTTAATAGAACATTATGATTCAAACATCCAGGAATCGTGCAGTTTCAATGTGTGGGGAGGTTGGAACTTACTGTTTCTGCTTGTGGAGAATAAAGTTTGATCTTTCTAATGTTTTTTAAGTATAGTAGAAATTATGTTTCGAATATTTAAGGAGGATAGATTTTGCGGAAATTTTTTTTAAAAGTCTTTAGACAAAGTAACTTATTGTTTCTAATTTTTGCAGAGGATAGAATTTGCTCTTTTTGATGTTTGTAGAAAATTGTAGAACTTTCGGTTTTTAATATTTAGAGAAGATTCACTTGACGTCTTTTTTAATGCCTGTAGACAATATAACTTATTGCTTCTAATGTTAGTAGAGGATATAACTCGCTGTTTCTAATGTTTGCGGGGTATAGTACTCTAATTGTTTTTAATATTTGTGGATATTAGAATCTAGGATTTTTGGTGAATGTGGGAATGGAACACTGTTTCTAAAGCTTGTTTACTTAAAAATATATATATATATTTAATTCCTTGAAACAGAATATGTGAAGCATAAAAAATAATGCTGACTACACTATTTTTTGGGGGTATATACACTCGTGATAAAACGAAAATCTAACTTTTAAATATTTATAAAATGCATAATGGCTGCATAAAAGTGTTCAGAACACTTTTCTTTAAAGTGTACTTATGTTTTACTTCCCTTTTTATGTATAAATCTTCTCTTTTTTTCAACTGCTAAAAAAATAATAAAAGAAGACTTAAAAAAGACTCTTATCACCGGTTCAAAGAGTCATTTCTACAAGTTCTAACTAGTTTCTCTTTAACTCTACTCAAAATTTTGGATATAGGAGGAAGAGAATCTCTAGTCACCCATAAGTGTCCCTCAGACCANTATATATATATATATATATATATATGATGCACATATAAGGAATATGACAATTCACTATCCCTTGCTCCAAGATCTAATACTATAATACTAAAAGAATTTTTTTTTTTAAAAATTACTACCCAGCATTGCTGTTAGCATTTTAAAATGACTTTGCACTCGCATTGACTGTTTTGTATAGTTCAAAAATTTAATTGAGCTTCAAAATTTCATGTTTCTGCCATGTAACAAACAATGTTTCCAATAATAACTAGCCTCAAAACTTCCCATGAAATTTTCAATATCTAATTTTTTTTATCTCAACCGGCGTAAGCATTTCCAGAATACACGCAGAGGGTATTATTTACAAAAACTTCGTTTAAAATATTTTTTTCTGTCAATAATTTGTTTGTCCCAAGAAAATCAGTCATTTTCCTGGCTACTTTTGTTTAGTGGTTTTTAACCAAAATAGATAGCGCCAGCGATCAATATCTTATGTTAATAGATTGATTAGATACGCTCCTATATAAACATGCCTTGTTGCATGAATAAAGAACCAATTTTCTGGTTCAAAATCTATTTCAAAACTTTTTTCAAGGAGAGTAGGTTTTGGTGTTGTCATTTTCCTGGCTTCTCGAAATCATTAATAACATAAACTGCATAGATTTATCTGAGTTATTTTAAAAAATCCTGTTGTTTTCTGCGGAATATAAACGTCTTAGGTCAAAATATAAAATTAAGTAAAGTTATATGCTATAAAATGGCGAATTTGTCATTATCCTGGCTGTCATTTTCCTGGCTCATGAATGCCAGGACATTGTAGCGTTACCAGAAATGTTTTTTAACTGCTAATACTTTAAGGAGGGAAAGCAAATATTAACCTAATACCAAGTTTGTGTATGATTGTAATACGCTTGGATGTAATCAAAGTTATTTATTTATTTAATGACTGATTATTATACACAATTTTATTCTGTACATATCAGCAAAAAAAAATATTTTGTTTCTTTCTACAGTGGATAAAAAGAATTGATTTAAGCAATTTATGGTCCATCTAACATAAAGGCTTAAGTTGAGTTACTTACTATTAACTTAAAATGACTGTTTTTTGGACTTCTAAAGTAATATGTCATTTTCCTGGCATTCAAGATTTGGTGAATTTCTATTTTATTTTTTTTTCTCTAGCAAATGTCAATAAACTGCACTGCAGTCTGTAAGATATTAATAAGTGTAACTAAAGAAGTATACAAAAGAAAATTAGATTATTTTGAAGACTTTAAATTTGAAGAAATTTTTTGGTCCGAATTGTCATGTTTAAAAGGAATCACCCATATACATATAATAAAATTCTTTTAGAGTCTAGATCTAGATAATCCATGAGTATTTGGCTAATTCAAATAAATAGGCATCTTATTAATTTATATCAAGTTTAAATAACAGATTACGTTGACTTTTTCCATGGATGACTATAGGGTTTCCCATAGCATGGATATTAGGATTTAGCAAGGATATCCTAAAATTAATCGAATGTCATTCAAATGGGAAAATTTAGAGATTTTGAAGTGTTCCAAAAAATATTGTCTTTCAAACAACTGGGAATTTTTGGTTGGTGATGATTTTGAATATCAATGAGAAAGAGACTGGTGCTCAATAAAAATGTATGGTTTACGGCAATTTTCTTAGAAATATAGAGAAATTTCATCCTGCTAAATTGTTTTAAATTAAACTAAACTCCCCCCCCCACCCCTATAGCTGCAGAGGAATTGAATCCGTCGCATCCAAAGTCTGTATTTCACCCCGCAATTATTTAGTGATTGCATGTGAAGGGTTTTGATGATGGTTTACACGTCAGAACGGCAGAAATTCAACGACATGGCCTGGAACATGGCTGCACACAAAAAGACTTAGTTTTCGAAAAATATTCTATTGACGGGAAGTTTAACTAAATGTGCAAATGGGAGTACGATGTGTATCTCAAAATTGCATTTTTTTTTAAAAAAAAGATTATAAGTTTCGAAGTCTTACTTTAATCCCAGACTTGGCGACATATTTCGATAAACAAGGGGAACGTTTATTCTTGAAAAGAAAAAAAGAAACTATATGACGCTGCAAGAGCATTTGATTTGATTGGACCACTAAAAATGGCGATTCTTATGCTGGCATGTCCTTAACACTAAACATACCATAACCGGTCAAATGACCGCTTAAGAACTTTCGCATCGTAAATGCGCTGATCATCTTATCGTTTTTGACTTGATGACTTTTTCTAACAATTATATACAGTTCTATTATTGTTATTTTGCATTTTGTTTGCTTCAAATAAAACTTGTCGTGTCCCCTATCTCTACCGCAACCGGTCATTTGACTGGGAGAAAAATGTATTGTTTTACAAGGTCATCGGATCAGAAGTGACGATGTTCAACGTATTGCACTCGATGAGTTCCTTCGAAGACTTGTTGCGTAGTTAGTTTAATCAGAATAACTGTGAATTCAAATTTCAATAAAGTACTTCATATTTTAGAGTGGCATGTTTGTGCAAGAAAAAGTCACAGAAACTAAATGTTTCGGTAAGTAGCTAATATTTTATTTTGATAGCTTCACTCCATTTCTAACTAACTGCTAGTTTTTACCCAGAAAAATATAAAAACAATCAAGACAGCACAAGTTCTTAGAAGAAATAATGTTAATTATAAGAATAATTACACGAATTACAATTCTTATATTTTCTTATAATTATAAGAATAATTATACGAATTACAATTCTTATGTTTTCTTATAATTATAAGAATAATTATAAGAATTTTAGAAATAATAATAGTTAGAAGAAATATGTATTCTGAAAATGTACAATGTAAACACCCGGCATATGTAAAAAATGCTTCGAGCAATGAATTAAAAACTCTTATTCTTTGTGTTTGTAATACATAAAAATTGGCAATATACAATTTTTTC